CATGCACTGTACATGCACTGTACATGCACTGTACATGCGCTGTACATGCACTGTACATGCACTGTACATGCACTGTACATGCACTGTACATGCACTGTACATGCCCTGTACATGCACTGTTCATGCACTGTACATGCACTGTACATGCACTGTACATGCACTGTACATGCACTGTACATGCACTGTACATGCACTGTACATGCACTGTACATGCACTGTTCATGCACTGTACATGCACTGTACATGCACTGTACATGCACTGTACATGCACTGTACATGCACTGTACATGCGCTGTACATGCACTGTACATGCCCTGTACATGCACTGTTCATGCACTGTACATGCACTGTACATGCACTGTTCATGCACTGTACATGCACTGTACATGCACTGTTCATGCACTGTACATGCACTGTTCATGCACTGTTCATGCACTGTACATGCACTGTACATGCACTGTACATGCACTGTTCATGCACTGTACATGCACTGTACATGCACTGTACATGCACTGTACATGCGCTGTACATGCACTGTACATGCACTGTACATGCGCTGTACATGCACTGTACATGCACTGTACATGCACTGTACATGCACTGTACATGCACTGTACATGCACTGTACATGCACTGTACATGCACTGTACATGCCCTGTACATGCACTGTACATGCACTGTACATGCACTGTTCATGCACTGTTCATGCACTGTACATGCACTGTACATGCACTGTTCATGCACTGTACATGCACTGTACATGCACTGTACATGCACTGTACATGCGCTGTACATGCACTGTACATGCACTGTACATGCGCTGTACATGCACTGTACATGCACTGTACATGCACTGTACATGCACTGTACATGCACTGTACATGCACTGTACATGCACTGTACATGCACTGTACATGCCCTGTACATGCACTGTACATGCACTGTACATGCACTGTACATGCACTGTACATGCACTGTACATGCACTGTACATGCCCTGTACATGCACTGTACATGCACTGTACATGCACTGTACATGCACTGTACATGCACTGTACATGCACTGTACATGCGCTGTACATGCACTGTACATGCCCTGTACATGCACTGTTCATGCACTGTACATGCACTGTTCATGCACTGTACATGCACTGTACATGCACTGTTCATGCACTGTACATGCACTGTTCATGCACTGTTCATGCACTGTACATGCACTGTACATGCACTGTACATGCACTGTACATGCACTGTTCATGCACTGTACATGCACTGTACATGCACTGTTCATGCACTGTACATGCACTGTTCATGCACTGTTCATGCACTGTACATGCACTGTACATGCACTGTACATGCACTGTACATGCACTGTTCATGCACTGTACATGCACTGTACATGCACTGTACATGCACTGTACATGCGCTGTACATGCACTGTACATGCACTGTACATGCGCTGTACATGCACTGTACATGCACTGTACATGCACTGTACATGCACTGTACATGCACTGTACATGCACTGTACATGCGCTGTACATGCACTGTACATGCACTGTACATGCGCTGTACATGCACTGTACATGCACTGTACATGCACTGTACATGCACTGTACATGCACTGTACATGCACTGTACATGCACTGTACATGCACTGTACATGCCCTGTACATGCACTGTACATGCACTGTACATGCACTGTTCATGCACTGTTCATGCACTGTACATGCACTGTACATGCACTGTTCATGCACTGTACATGCACTGTACATGCACTGTACATGCACTGTACATGCGCTGTACATGCACTGTACATGCACTGTACATGCGCTGTACATGCACTGTACATGCACTGTACATGCACTGTACATGCACTGTACATGCACTGTACATGCACTGTACATGCCCTGTACATGCACTGTACATGCACTGTACATGCACTGTACATGCACTGTACATGCACTGTACATGCCCTGTACATGCACTGTACATGCACTGTACATGCACTGTACATGCACTGTACATGCACTGTACATGCACTGTACATGCGCTGTACATGCACTGTACATGCCCTGTACATGCACTGTTCATGCACTGTACATGCACTGTACATGCACTGTTCATGCACTGTACATGCACTGTACATGCACTGTTCATGCACTGTACATGCACTGTTCATGCACTGTTCATGCACTGTACATGCACTGTACATGCACTGTACATGCACTGTACATGCACTGTTCATGCACTGTACATGCACTGTACATGCACTGTACATGCACTGTACATGCGCTGTACATGCACTGTACATGCACTGTACATGCGCTGTACATGCACTGTACATGCACTGTACATGCACTGTACATGCACTGTACATGCACTGTACATGCACTGTACATGCACTGTACATGCACTGTACATGCCCTGTACATGCACTGTACATGCACTGTACATGCACTGTACATGCACTGTACATGCCCTGTACATGCACTGTACATGCACTGTACATGCACTGTACATGCACTGTACATGCACTGTACATGCACTGTACATGCGCTGTACATGCACTGTACATGCGCTGTACATGCACTGTACATGCACTGTTCATGCACTGTACAGTTCACAGTGCAATCATGTGCATGTCAGACTGCATCATCACTTCCTCAGGCCTCACTTGACTCCGCTTAGCGCCAAACACCGTACACTGAGTTCAAAAACGAATATCAGTCAGAGTGCGAACATTCGTTTCTTGTACGAATATTCGTTAGAGCGCGAACATTCGTTTCCTGTACTAATATTCGTTCGCTTTGCCATTTCGAACGAATGTTTGAATATTCGGATATTCGTTTCACCACTACCGTAACGTACAGCCAGAGCGCCCCGTCTCACGAGAGCACCCCCCACCACCTTGATTTTACAGCCAGGGAAAGGAAAATTGCATGACAGAGTGCAACGAAGTTTGTGCCGCATGAGAACCGTAGTATACTAAGGTCACGCTTGGCAGGTTTTTGTGTGGAGCTCATGTCCGCTTGAAGGTAAATTGAGTTCGGAGTGACTGCACAACGCCTAATACGTGTACAAAGTTCGTGTCGTATGACCTAGAGACAGGAGATCACCTCCACAATACGACCACGAAAGGACGAGATGATGGGGCGCTCTGGCGGTACTTTACGGTACTACATACACACACAGAGTAAGATTAGGTCGTACAGCTGCGAAAAGGGTGCTCAACATCCAAGATGGAGCAATGGTAGACAGGTCATTGAGCAGTGGACCGCCGAGAAATTCGCTGTTACAACGAATTTCTCGGCAGTCCACTGCTCAATAATGTGTGTGTACATAATACATGCTAGCCTAATATGTTCAGATACCTTCTCAGATCTTGTTGCAATTCTTGGAGTTGCTCAGCACAAGTACGATGGTAAGTTTCCTGTGCCTCAATGAAATCTTGTAAATTACGAACTTGAGAAACCTAAGATGACAACAGGAAGAGCAAATGTGACAACCGCAAGACATTCAATTCCAGATAGTGGTAGAATAATACTGCTTACGACCTAGTTAGAAGGAAGAAGGAGATAAAACAGAGAGGTTCCAGGCTGAAGGAGCAAGATAGATAGAAAGGGAGGGAGGGAGAGGGGGGGGGGGAGGAGCTGGTGGTGATACAAAGGGGGGGGGGGGAGGAGCTGGTGGTGATACAAGGGGGGGGGGGGGGAGCAGTGTAAGACAGACAGCGCTGTACAAGTACATGCACTGGTGTGCGGAAACACAAGATTATCGACTGAGTACGGACTAGAATACTGACTAGAGTACGACTACGGGACTGATTGGAGTACTGTTTAAAAAATATGTATGGCATGAGAGCATGTCATACTAACCCTTATGCATCTATAGGAACAGGACCAGTGTCAATGTAGGAATGTGACCAGTGTCAATTATGTAGGAATGTGACCAGTGTCAATGTAGGAATGTGACCAGTGCCAATGTAGGAATGTGACCAGTGTCAATGTAGGAATGTGACCAGTGCCAATGTAGGAATGTGACCAGTGTCAATGTAGGAATGTGACCAGTGTCAATGTAGGAATGTGACCAGTGTCAATGTAGGAATGTGACCAGTGTCAATGTAGGAATGTGACCAGTGTCAATTATGTAGGATGTGACCAGCATCCACGGTCAAGGTGCACTCAGGCAGTGTGCGTCAGGATGATATGGACAGTGCTGCTCAATGAAATCCACTCAAGCAAGCCAATACCTCGTCAGGCGCAGTGCAGCCATAGACCTGCAAACACTGCGATTGTAAACTGGTGCAGGGTGCAAACTTTACTCACGCGATCGGATGTCATTGAGTAGCACTGTAGATAAGGAACATAGAGACATCTTGTTGCTTGTCAAGGTGGATATACGTACTAAAACAGTGCGTGTCATGATGGCATATATTCAAGAGACAGAGAGAGAAAGAAAGAAAGAGAGAGAGAGAGAGAGAGAGAGAGAGAGAGAGAGAGAGAGAGAGAGAGAGAGAGAGAGAGAGAGAGAGAGAGAGACAGAGAGACAGAGAGAGAGACAGAGAGAGAGAGAGAGACAGACAGACAGACAGACAGACAGACAGACAGACAGACAGACAGAGAGAGAGAGAGAGAGAGAGAGAGAGAGAGAGAGAGAGAGAGAGAGAGAGAGAGAGAGAGAGAGAGAGAGAGAGAGAGAGAGAGAGAGAGAGAGAGAGAGAGAGAGAGAGAGAGAGAGAGAGAGAGAGAGAGAGAGAGAGAGAGAGAGAGAACATGATACAGGTGAGACTAACCCGAGATTTGGACAAACCTTCCAACATCAACTTTGTCAGTTCATATTGGCGATCAAAGTCATTCTGACACTGTCGAACTTCGGCATCAGCCTTCGAGAATACACAAACAAAACAATGAATCAGAACAGTGCATCCAACAATCACATCAAGGTAAAACTTGGCATGTCAGCCATAGCCATACCGATATGGTGTATAAGTAAAATCTGGCATGGTAGCCATCTGGATATGGTGTACAGTCAACTTCGCCAATAACGACATTCGGCGGGGCATCAGAAAAGTGTCCTTATTCGCGAAGTGTCCTTATAACCGAAGTCCCATTTGAATGTATGTGAACCCATATTTTGTATAGTATGATATGCATATCAAAATCAAGCTCTTTTCTTGCTCTATGTCAATGTGTACTTTATTTTCATATTGCAGTTGAAAGGAACTAAAAATTCAATATGCAAGGGAAATCAATTGAAAAATATGCCTTTTTGAGCCATCTACAGGGCCAGAGACATGTACATGTATGATGATTACTGTACAATCATGTACAACTACATGTACATTGTATACATATAGGTGTGCTGGTAAATCCAACAATTTTGAAGCCAACATAGAAAAGGAAGCAAAAGCCCCCCCCCCCCCCCTTGGCTGCATTTTCTTGCATTGCATGTGTGCAATAATATCCATCACCAGTGCACCATAGGTTCTGGTACTTCTGCATGACAGGTACATGTACTTGACTGACAGGTACTTGAAATAGCTGTCAAAAGCCCAGAAAGTCGTTATTCAAGCAGTGAATATGACCACGGGGCACTAAAAGCATGTCGCTATACGCGAATTGTCGTTATTCAGATAGTCGTTATATCCGAAGTTAAATGTATACAGTTAGATGGGACTTTGCTCTGGGCATGGAAATTCGGTCGTTATTCGCGAATTGTCGTTATATCCGCAGTCGTTATTAGCGAAGTTGACTGCATAGATAAAACCTGGCATGGTAGCCATCTGGATATGGTGTATAGATAAAACCTGGCATGGTAGCCATCTGGATATGGTGTATAGATAAAACCTGGCGTGGTAGCCATCTGGATATGGTGCATAGGCAAAACCTGGCATGGTAGGCTTGATATGGCTACCAAAAGCCAGTCTGAAATCACCAGCCCAACCACAGCGTTCTACATAAACCAAATGGTCATACAGACAACCAAGAGTAGATAAACAAGAGTGTGCAACTCCGGGATGGGTTGGCCCGCGGCGGAATTTTTTGTTGACGTAATCTTTTCGACGATGCACGCGCTGCGAGTCTTTTGGAAAATTTCGCCTCGTGCACTTGGCCGGGCTTTACATTACAAAGTCGGTCCCCAGCACGTGCTCTCACACTGCTCTGGGGCAAAATGCGCGTTCTTCTGAAAAAAAAAGGTGACATCAACAAAAAATTCCGCCGCGGGCGGGGGTATCTGCAGATTGTGCAGAAGAGATCCGGAGTTGCACACTCTTGTTTATCTACTCTTGATACAACTAAGATCATGGCTGACATGGCTGTAAGGGTCATAGAATCATACAACTGATGTAGGGTATACCACAATGTTGTCAATGTAGGATGTGCAGTACCCCACAATGTTGTCAATGTAGGATGTGCAGTACATACAATGTTGTCTAGGTAGGATGTGCCGTGCATACAATGTTGTCAATGTAGGATGTGCAGTACATACAATGTTGTCAATGTAGGATGTGCAGTACATACAATGTTGTCTAGGTAGGATGTGCAGTACATACAATGTTGTCTAGGTAGGATGTGCCGTGCATACAATGTTGTCTAGGTAGGATGTGCAGTACATACAATGTTGTCTAGGTAGGATGTGCAGTACATACAATGTTGTCTAGGTAGGATGTGCCGTGCATACAATGTTGTCTAGGTAGGATGTGCCGTGCATGCAATGTTGTCTAGGTAGGATGTGCAGTACATACAATGTTGTCTAGGTAGGATGTGCAGTACATACAATGTTGTCTAGGTAGGATGTGCAGTACATACAATGTTGTCAATGTAGGATGTGCAGTACATACAATGTTGTCAATGTAGGATGTGCAGTACATACAATGTTGTCAATGTAGGATGTACAGTACATACAATGTTGTCTAGGTAGGATGTGCCGTGCATACAATGTTGTCTAGGTAGGATGTGCCATGCATGCAATGTTGTCTAGGTAGGATGTGCCGTGCATACAATGTTGTCTAGGTAGGATGTGCCGTGCATGCAATATTTCGCCCGTAGAATACAATGTCATGTCAAAGAAACTCCAAATACCAGTGATGCCCAGTGATTCCGTTACATAACGTCTCCCAATCATGGGCCATGCAAATATGCCAGGTACAATACCAGATGCCCGAAACACCTAAAATTAATAATGGCTTTCCCTGCAAAGAATCAAAGATCAACTGCAGTCAACTTCGCTTATAACGACACTCAGCGGGGCATCAGAAAAGTGTCCTTATTCGCTTATAATGACACTCAGCGGGGCATCAGAAAAGTGTCCTTATTCGCTTATAATGACACTCAGCGGGGCATCAGAAAAGTGTCCTTATTCGCTTATAATGACACTCAGCGGGGCATCAGAAAAGTGTCCTTATTCGCTTATAATGGAGCCTGGCCACGCGAAAAGGGCCCTAATGATGATTTTTGTCAAAATGAGTTTAGTGTCCAATATTATAGCTGAAGCTGTCAGGATTGCTGTGCAAAAAACCGTTCTAAAAAATGTCAATCCAAACCAGAGTTATAGTGATTTTTGTAACCTGCGTTTCAAGGTATTTTCTGAGTAAACGGCTGATAAATTAATGGAAACTAGATTATTTGACAGCGGTTCGTAATGGCAAGAATAACTCAGCTAAATTTAAAAAAAACCCATGACATTCAGTGAATCATAAGCTTGTTATGTCCCTGTTTGTTCCTCAAGAGTCATGCAGATTCCTGTGTAAGTCAATCCGACATCTCGGCTTCTGCAGGTACGGGCTGTGGGCAGAGGTCGTCCTTGTACGGGTCAGCAACAAACGGACGGATCTCCTTGTACTGCGCCCGGTCATCACTTATGCCACCAAGAGGAATGGCAGACGTCAGGGCATTGTGCGGCCGCCGTCCCGTGTTACGGTTGATGCGTGGCACAGGTCCGCAGTTTTTCAGGTGGTTGAGTATATTTTTCAATACTCTCTGCGACACGTCATAGATTTGCCTGAATGCTCCGGCGCATACAACCTCTCCGCGGAACGAATAATCAAATGCTGCACGTCTTCTCTTTCCTCGCTAAGCGTCAGAGCGTGGGTACTCAGCCGACAACAGTACTCCCATCAACAGCATATCCTTTTCTGCTTTTTCTAGTCCTCTCATCGTAAGTTGGAAATCGCCCACTTCACTGGATGGGAACTTGCTGAGGCAGTTTTTGGTGCAGCCGCAGGACCTCGTTGGAGTGTCAGCTGCTGCTGCTGCTGCTGCATCAGCAGCCTGTCCCTCACCAGCATCAGCAACATGCACCTGAGCAGCAGCAGCAGCCTGTCCCTCAGCAGCGCCACCAACCTGTTGCATAGGGGCAGCAGCAGCAGCCTGTTCCCCCGCTGGTTCTTGATTTTCTTGAACCGAAAAAGCAACAGCAACGTTCAGAACAAACTCATGGACGGCTGTGTCCGTGTCCACATCACCTTCCCAGTACTGAAGCGATCGCTCGTCACCGTCATCCTCACTGGGCGGTCCTGGCGCATCACAGGGTTCTGAGCCATCTGGAACGTCACCATGAAGGCTGGTGGAGACACCAACGACAGCAGCGGAAAGTGGAACAGCTGATCGTGACACTCGAATTTCTTCTCCGTCAGAATCGTCATCACTCGCGCTAGTGTCGGCATTGGATTGAGATTCAGCGCTGGGCGCGAGATACTGATCCTCACTGGCGGTGAGGACCAGGCTCAGTGCTTCGTCAACAGTGAAATGTCGATAGATACTCATCTCGGCGGAGGAATAGCAAAACAAGAACAGCGATGGTAAAATCGCACTCGAGAAATTTCCAAACTAGCGCAGTTCGCTCCCCGAAGCGCGACGCAAATTTTTTCGATCTCAGCCGTACATTGGCCGATTTGAAAAAGGGAAATACCCACGTAGAGCTGGGACCTTGGGCCATCGCACTGTGCTATCCTGTAGAGCCTAGCGCTTACCATACTCGCGTTGCGAGCGCACGAATACTGTGGTGTATGTGAACTATGACGTAATCGACCTGTCAACTTTCAAGTGCGTGTTACTGCACTGCACAGTGAACATCGTTAGGGCCCTTTTCGCACGGCCCGGCTCAATGACACTCAGCGGGGCATCAGAAAAGTGTCCTTTAATATTCGCTTATAATGACACTCAGCGGGGCATCAGAAAAGTGTCCTTATTCGCGAAGTATCGTAATACCCGAAGTCTCATTATATGTATTACAGTTGGATGGGACTTTGCTCTGGGCATAAAAATTCTGCCGTTATTCGGGAATTGTCGTTATATCCGCAGTCGTTATTAGCCAAGTTGACTGTACCTACCCCCTAGATAACAAGGAAACACATGCCAGCACTCACAGCTTGCATACGATCAGTGGTTTTTGCTCGCTTTTGCCGGGCCTTGGCGGAATCAAGGTCGAGACGTTTGCGATTGAGGACTGAACGCTCTCTCTGTAGGCAACAAAAAAAAGAAAATGAAACGACGAATTGTGGGTGCATATATATGCACAATATGTACGCATGTAGCATAACAGCATACGCACGAACGCACACACACACACACACACACACACACACACACACACACACACACATGTACAGACAAGTCCATCATACAGTACATTGGCTGGTGAGTGTTGGTTGCACCAGGAAGCAGCAAGGTGTTATCTAGTCAACGCGTGGCTGTCATGTTGTTCATCCTGCCACTCTGGACTGCTGCTGTACTAGTATCAACGTGTGGCTGTCATGTTGTTCATCCTGCCACCCTGGACTGCTGCTGTACTAGTATTGTACTGTATAAGCAGAAATATTCGTCTGGAATTTAATTTCGTCTTTTTCGTCCAAGGAACTTTTGGACTAAATTAAATGCCCGGACTAATGTCGATTTGTCCAGCTTTTCAATACACTCTTATGATCCACGGTCGAAATTTACAACCGGACAAACTCCCTTTCTTTGGAGTTGGATGAAATTATTGACCGACGAAATTTGCTGCCTGCACAGTAGTGCCCATTTTTATAAGATTTGGTCAAAACATTCTAAACATTCTAGAAACAGTTTGAGCAGTAGCTTCGTAATCGAAGTTCCAGTGTACAGCAGGTACTGTAAAAGCCATATATATATACAAGCGAGGGTCCCTGGTTCGAGTCCTGGTGGTGACAGTCAATTTTTTTCTTCAGACTTTTCCCGTTTGTCTCTTTCCCTCAAACCAGTTAATATATACATGAGCCACAACAACAAGGTTGTCAGTTTCATAATACTAAAAGCTTTTCACCCATTTTCATCAGTAGGTACATGGGAATGAGCAAGAACGAAAACGAAGCCAGAATTTATACTGGGGGTAGAGAATCAGCAAGAATATTCTTACGCGCCTCAAGTTCACACTACGCAACCATAAGAATGTATATACACAATCCAGTATAGTCCTCACCAAGTACACATTCTTTCTGTTGCTACTCAGAGTTTCTTGAACAATCAATCATCAGGACAACAAACAACTAAAGCTGGGCATGCAAAAACAATGCTAAATATACCCATCACGCAGCAAGCGCGGACACAAAAGTGTCAAGCGCAAAGTGTCACGCACAAAGTGTCAGGCGCAAAGTAACTTCATATACAGTCGGCCTACCCTATAAGGCCACACCAAAAAGATTTCGTGTTTCCGGTCGGCCGACCGGGTCCGTTTTTTCAAAAATTATGGAATTTTTTTTGGTTTACAAGTACAAAAAAAACAAAGAAAAACAAGCAAAAACACTGAAAGCATTGTGTTGCTTTGCTCGAACCGAAATAAAAGTTTGACTGAATGCAGAGACGAAAATTCCGGAGCTGGAGAAAAGGTCGCCAAGAACGATGGCTGCTTAGAGCAGCCCGCTTTGTGCCCAGTGCTGACGATGGCTGCTCAGAGCAGCCCGCTTTGTGTCCAGTGCTGGCGGGGTGCGAAGTGTCTTCTTCAGCAAAGGATAGTTCGCGTCTCCCATGAAACCACTTTGAAGGAGTTGTTTTGTGAGGAAGTGCAGCCTCGCTTGCCTGAGGACGTCACGTCTTTAGAGTGGATTGTCGCAGCTACAGCAAGCAGCAATGGTGGGGCAGGAACGTGGAAAGATGTAGAGGTAACTGACACTGTCGGCCTTGTTGTCGAAATACGAATTTGGATGCCGTTTCCTGGATTTTCGCTTGGTGGACGTAGCTCCTGCTGCCAAGCGACCGTGCCCTGACCGTCCCTCGGCATTCGATGTGCTTCTGGGAGCAGCAGCTACTGCGTCCCGCGGTGGTATTCTACTCCATATTCCATGTGTAAATATGTATAATGTGTATCACCAGTGTCTGATCCAAACTTTCTCAATTTGGCTCATGTCTATGAACATGATGAATACAGCAGGGAAATAAACTTTCAAACCAAAAAATAATAATTTTCCGACCGACCGGGCGTATTTTTTCGGGGGGTGCCGACCGGAAACACGAAATCTTTTTGTTGTGGCCTAACGATAACCTCTATAACGATATTACCCTTATAACGATATTTTTCTGTCAAACCAAATCACTCCATTGACTTGTGTACACAATGCCTTACTAGGCACTTCAGCCGGTTTTTTCCAGTCGGGTTTCTCCCAGGTTTAGCATCGTAAATCGACAGTGGTGGATATCACAAGGTCACACACAAAATTTCATTGAAATCCACAAAGACACAAGTGAGATATGAAGGGTTGAAGAGAGGCAATTGCATAAGGCGAAAACAATACAATTTGTGGTACCAACAGCATCCCCAAAGTGTTATCAGTGGATATAGTTACAAAACTTCAGAGTGGCATTTTCGAACACACGGCTCTCACAAACACCAACAAGTGTTTATGGATGAACAAAATACTGATCAAAGTTCACAATAGTCCAGAATACGGCAATTGTTACCACAATCACCATAGCAACCCCATAGCAACCCATAGTAACCCATGGCAACCCCATAGTAACAGCTTCGGTTTGCTGTGAAATTAGCTAATATCGACATAGAGTTCACCAGCAGGCCACTGCTGCTGCTAAATGCTATAAAAGACATTCTTCTGGCACTCAGAAGGTAAGCACACCGAGATAGCATACGCAAAATGAATTGAAAGCGGAATTTCTGCATACACAACGCACATGCACACGTTAACGCCACTTCAAACAGAGGTTCGATGTTGGAAACCAGTTTCTCTATTGGCAGCTCCTTTGTACCAGTAGAAAGTGCAAACTAAATTACTTTGGACCTTCTGCAGCAGAACAAACTTGCAGAAGTGAAGCTGCGAATTGAGAGCAAGGCGTTCGTCAGTGACAAAGAACATTTTTGAGAGCTGCTCCTGTGCTGCCTCCTTCGAGATCCAGAGCCCACCTACAGCCGTGATCTCCGTCAAAGTCTCCTTTTTCTTTTGATGTTGTTCTTTCTTGCGTGTGCTACCTGCCTCCTTCTCCTTCACTTGCTCCATACAGCAGTCATGAATTGTCTGCTGGCGAGCCTCGAGATTCTCACAGAATTTTGGTGCAGCGCGCCTGGATGCGTCGATCAAAGTGTCCCTCTCATCGGCGGATTTCTCCTGTAGCCACTGTGCCGTTTGATTGTTCGTAAACATCAGTAGCCGTTCAAGCACAACAGGGTCAAACATTGGCTTTCAGCACGCTTTGAAAACTGGCTCAGGTAGGACGACGACGCATCTTTCTCCTCCGCCTCAAGCCCTTCTCCTCACTATCTACGTCCATATTTCCTCCTTGCGCAGCTATGCGCAAACCCTGGTGAACAAGAACTCAACTGTTTCTGAATGGAAACACGACGCTGAAGACGATAGGCAACGTTTCCAACGCGTACTAACAACATTTCCTTGTGAAAAAACTCTTTGCTGGAAGTGTACATGATCTGCAAGTCGCAAAAATGTACGCACTATGACGTATGTAGGCTCTACTGAAAGCTGAACGCCAGAGCAGCACGATGCGCTGAACTACAGGCCCGTACAACGAAGCATGGCGCGTACCTGTACAGTTTTGCACAGGCACTTGAGTGATACCACGCAAGTACGCACTCTCACCTTAGCAAAATTTGACAGGTCTTGTCACGTGACTGAAGTGCCTAGCCTTACCTCTATAACAATATTGCTCAGGGATCGATTTATTTTGATTTTTTGCATAGCAGTCACTGCTACATAGTTTTACAATTGACTAGCAACTCCCAGTATTGATTAGCAGTTTTCCTTCATCGAAAGTTTACATGTATATCTGTACAATAGCAGGATTTTGTACAGAAGAGGACAATAGTTGCCGTTGCTATTTGCTTTTCCAAACGAACGGTTGACCTGAATATTTTACGTCAGGGTTTTTGCTTGGGCTTATTACAATCATGTTCAGCGTCCATCTGACTTCGAGTTCTTCACAACACAATGTCCTTCAACAGGGCAGTTCCACTGATTACTTCGACAAATAAAGCGCAGGAAAGCGCTCAAACAATCGTGACACTTCGTTCAAAGCGCACAGAATTTTCGCTTTCTCCTTTTCTTCATCGAAACGAATCGACACTCCTGGCGCGTCCAGTTCTTTTTCCCGCTTCTGGACAGTGATCAGATTCACTGACATGTTGGCTACATGAGAGAGAAGTATCTACTTCAACTGTGTCTTGTCGAACAGAAACAAACTAAATTGAGCGTGATAGTGAAAGAAGAAAGGAGAACTTCAGCCTTTTCAGGGAAAGTCGCCGCCATGTACTGCAGTCTTGTACGACCAGTGCAGTGTGGCTATGGAGTAGTAAAATATTACTCCCTAGTCAGCAGTGGTGTACAGCAGTCGCATGCAAACTGCACACAAAGAGTACAGAATGGTCTTTGTACATACCGGTATGCATGACCAGTGCATCGCAGTTTTGGGCGATAAAAAACAAAAAGCGAATCGCAGCCAGTGAATTTTGATTCGCAAACTGCGATGCGAACCCGGATAAATCGATCCCTGATTGCTATAACGATATTACCCCTATAACGATATAAAATGGGCTGACCAATCGGCATTTTCCATTTTATAACAATATCTAGCAGGGAATATGTAGAGCCCACTATCCAGGTAGGGCAAGCTTCCCTTGATAAGTCGCTGGGACATGACGAAATGCAATGGTGGCACCAGTACCAGCGGGCACTTTGCTGTGTATAATAATGCATGTACATCAGTTTTTTATGCCACGAAGAGTGTAAAAAATGAACAAAATCCATGCATTATGACGTATGTGTATGAAATGAACCAGTTACCCCTATAACAATATTACCCTTATAACAATATTTCTTGGTCGGACGAAAATATCGTTTTAAGGGTAGGTCGACTGTATATATATATATCAGTAGGGGTGATCCCGTCCAACGCGAATAGTGCTCAATAGTACGAGGGTACTAGAGCCAATACACACTGCACGATCAGGTCCTCACCAGGTATATATATATATATATATACACAA